TATATATACAATAACACACACACACAAAACAAGGACCCCCAGTGGAAATATGCCACAATGATTGTACTGAGTTATTCTAATATTCTAGGATAATCCTACACAATGAACTATTTGTGTGACCTTGTAGAAATTTACACTTATGCTTATATAGCCTAAATATGAACTTAAAATATATGAGTGTGGCATAAGTGGTAATTGTGAAGAGCGTTGGTGACAAAGATAACATGAGGGGTTGTGATCCATAACATTATTCCTTTGTCTTCTTATTTAAGATAAGATGACAATGTGAGTAATGTTCACACAGCTGCCCCGTCACTCAACAATTCAAGATTATGGAAATCAAAGGGGAGGGAGGAACGTCTCCTCCCCTGAAACACGCCCCCTTAACACAAGGGACTCTCAGTTACCAACGCCATATTTCCTAAATCCTATTTTATTACCCATCGTGCCGTTCGTATCATCCTACTGCTATTGATTTCACCCCATACGGTAAATATGGTGCATTCGTTGCATTAAATAAATCAATATATATCTATTACTTCTTGAAAATACTTAATACTCAAAGGAAACCAGCGCGAGTCGGTATTTATGAGTGTGTCGGTCAAGTCATCCTCAGGCAGGAGGCAACAGTGGATGGCGTAGTTCTGCTGGTGAATTCATCCCATCTGTCGGTGGTTATATTTCCTTCTGCTTAAAGTGCGAGACACAGGTGGTCAAGAAGGTACAGAGGTACCAAGAGCAGACTCAACGTCAGGATGTTGACCGTCGTGTGCTTAGCCTTCATGATCATCACCTCTACTGTATTGGGTAACCCGGTGAGTCAATTTGCTTTGAAGAATTTAGTTTATGTATATAATATATATATATATATAATATATATATATATATATATATATATATATATATATTATATATATATTATGTCGTGCCGAATATGTAAAACTGGTCAATTAGCAAGAACTCATTTAAAATTAAGTCCTTTCTAAAATTTTCTCTTATACCTTTAAAGATATATTTTTTTCATTAATATTGAAGTAAAAATTTATAATTTTGCACCAAAAGGAACTTAGAAAACTCACCTAACCTTATTATAAAAAGCGCAATTTATTTTAGCCTAACCCAACTAAATATATTTTAGATTTGTTTACAATAATTTCATACTAAAAAAGCACAGTGAAATATATTTTTTTCGTTAGGTTCAGAATGATTTTGGCGAAATTATTGCATACACAAACTTTCACTTGTCTTATATGACAAGATGAGCGTTGCTATTTAAGCCAAGATCGCAAGTTCTGCCTATTCGGCACGATATATATATATATATATATATATATATATATATATATATATATATATATATATATATATATATATATATATATATATATATATATAATAATATATATATATATATATATATGATATGTGTGTGTGTGTGTATATCCTATTATCTCTTAACTTTTTACATAAATATCCATAAATATACCCCATGGCCTGGCTGGCAAAGCTCTCGCTTCACACACGGAGGGCCCGGGTTCGATTTCCGGCGGGGTAGAAACATTTCGACGCGTTTCCTTACATCTGTTGTCCTGTTCACCAAGCAGCAAGTAGGTACCTGGGTGTTAGTCGACTGGTGTGGGTCGCATCCTGGGGGTCAAGACTGAGGACCACAATGGAAATAAGAGACAATCCTCGATGATGCACTGTCTTTCTTGGGTTATCCTGGGTGGCTAACCCTGCTGGGTTAAAAATCCAAACGAAATCTTATATTAAGTAATACTGTACAAAGGGTTTAAGGGATACATAATGGACACACTCATAAGTTTGTCAACCATTTGATTTCGAATATATCCTGCTGGTCACTTACTCAAGTCACAGTAAGCATTACCCCTCTGACCCGCAACATTGAGATGCTGAAACAGAAAGCTGTTCACAGAAATTCTAATTCGTTTTCCGAGTTTCCTCAAAATTCCACAACTCTTAATTCATCATTAAACAGCATTGGCTGGTCCCTCACGGTGGTCTTGGAAACTTGTACTTCTAATTAGTTCCTCAATGGTTTCCCATTCCTTACTAAGTCCGGGTAGTCCTTGGTAGTGTACAGGAAACACTACATGACCTCAGCTCCCTTTCATAAATCTTAGACACTCAAGTCTCCTCCAGTGTCACATAGCATAAGAAATGAGTTTCACATAATTTTTTTCCTGCTTGTCAGTTACACCCCTAGTATTGCAAGACAGGCAGATCAGGCCTAGTGCCCCCACACAGTTGAGGGCCTCTGTTTACCTTGTCAATTTATGTAGGTAGCTGATTTGAGACTTCCTACTGTAGTCATCATTGCTAGGTCACTAAACCATCGGCTTTGACTAACTGGCCCCAGTTCGAGTTACTCTACTATGCCTTTAAACACAAATGTGCCTTTTTTTTATACCTGTTATGTATATATTTCTATGGTGAGTTTGTTTTCCCATGGACTTGGCAGCCTCAAGTGGCCAGTTCCCATTGTCCCCCTTTAAAAGTAGCATTTTTGCTTTCAGTCATGCAACCCTGGAATGTCTGACATGCTAAACGTACATCTAATCTGCCACACACATGATGATGTTGGTTGGCTCAAGACCGTCGACCAGTATTACTATGGCTGTAAGTGTACTTCATACGAATGGTCACTGTATTTTAAACGCTGTGGAAGATGAACGGGATACTAGTTGATGGAACAACTCACAACCTGTCCACAAACTGGAACTGGAAACTGTAGTGTTTCAGTCCGTCCTGAGGCATTATTAAGTCGTAACATGATAAGGGTTCAGGACAGATGGAAACGTCATTTACGTATTTTCTCCTCTTCCAGTCTGTGACTGAGTTGTGAATATTCAACGCTGGCCCTAACACTGTACCCCGTTTGTTAAAAGCTAAATATAATTTACAAGAAGTTTACACTCGCATTTACTCATAACTTAACACTGATAACCTACACATGTCAAAAATAATCTTTGGATATTTGTTTTTATCGTTTCCTACCAATGCATCATGGTCTGTTGCAGCCAAGAACAGCATTCAGAGAGCGGGTGTGCAGTACGTGCTAGACTCAGTAATACAAGCACTGAAGGATGACCCTAAGAAGAAGTTCATCTATGTGGAGTCTGCATTCTTCTTCAGATGGTGGGACAACCAGTCAGATGACATGAAGACGCTAGTCAAGGTAAGATGACATGAAGACGCTAGTCAAGGTAAGATGACATGAAGACGCTAGTCAAGGTAAGATGACATGAAGACGCTAGTCAAGGTAAGATGACATGAAGACGCTAGTCAAGGTAAGATGACATGAAGGCGCTAGTCAAGGTAAGATGACATAAGACGCTAGTCAAGGTAAGATGACATGACGCTAGTCAAGGTAAGATGACATGAAGACGCTAGTCAAGGTAAGATGACATGAAGACGCTAGTCAAGGTAAGATGACAAGAAGACGCTAGTCAAGGTAAACAAGAATTATATGTTGCTTTGTATAAATAACTGTCACTAGTGAAAGAGGAAGACTTACAGGTTTAACGCTTTCCCCTGATTATGATAGCTGACAGAGACGAATTAAAAAAGGAGGTTTAACTAAAACAATACTCTGTAAATATTGGTAAAATACAAGGACACGAAGTATTGGTGGTGTGAGTTAGTACGGTGTTAGAAGAGAAAGTAAAGAGAGGAGGGAATAGAGTAGGAGGAATAGAAGAAAGTGTGAAGGAAAGGTAGGCTTCAGGGGTGAAGAAATAAGTGGAAAAATACAGACAAAAAGAAATATTGTAGTTGCTTAAGTAACCCTTGAACGAGGGAGGACATGTCTTGATGCTAGTGAAGGGCCATTAATATCAGGAATTGGAGATACCTTCCTTTTCTCAAAATAACCCTTTCTACCTTCCATTGGGAGAAGGATTTAGCCCTTCCCCAAGATTATTATCATAGTCTTAAGTGAAAAACACACGGCACAATATCGAGACTTAAACAATTCCCAACTAACTACAGTTAAACAGCTCACTGGTTAAAATTTCTGCCTACAGAGCCTAGTGTCCCAGGGACAGTTAGAATTCATCAATGGTGGCTGGTGCATGAATGACGAGGCTGCTGCTCACTACAACGCCATCATTGACCAGATGACCCATGGTCTGGCGTAAGTTACACTTCCATGTTCTGCTCTCTTCTCACCCATAATGGTTATCACTTGTTTTCGAAAACTAATATAGTTCATGCTGCCCTCATATCGCAAAGAACATTAATCTTACACTTGCTTTACAATGATTATATATATTACTATTTTATGAGAAACCTGAAGCCTCATATAGGTTTAAACGCAATTAAATAAAAGGCTTATTAACTAATACTTATGTGTCTTTGATTCATCCTTATCCTTACTGCTCTCTGTTTCTTGCAGTAAGTTGAATAGCACCTTCGGGGAGGACGCGAGGCCAACAGTTGCATGGCAAATTGATCCCTTTGGTCATTCCCGTGAACAGGTTCGTAAAATTTTTTTTTCTTAATAAACAAAAGCCACTAACAACGCAGCGGTTAGAATTCATAACTAATCCATAAATCTGAACTGACAATTGGGCAATGTTTCAGTCCATACTAGGCAACTAATTATAAAACCGCCTTTTTCATGTTTACTTTTATGTTATACTGTACATCTAAATTTTTTTTTAAATCCGTTCATACTTATATGAATCAAGATATATGCACAAAACAAGGGTTTGTAATGCAATATTATGCTGATAGACGTGGTTACATTTAATATTAAAGATTTTTAGCTTAATACTTAAAATTTCATACACCTGTCACAGTGTGTAATGTACTGTATATATGCTACATGCATTTTTTTTTCATCTGCAGGCAAGTTTGTTTGCCCAAATGGGATTTAATGGGTTGTTCTTCGGTCGCCTTGACCATGATGACAAGAGCACAAGATGGGCCAACAAGACGATGGAAATGGTGTGGCAGGGAAGCCAAAACTTAGGTGTGTTGCTACAGAGATAAAACTTGTTTATCTTCCTGGTAGTGATGGAGGTGGCTGGGGGGAAAGTTGCGAGATGTTGAAACTAGGCTGTGAGATGTTGAAACTAGATTGTGAGACACTCATATTCATATATTTCACTATTCATAGATCTGGATAGATTTAGTTTCGCTTTGTTACTATTCAAAAAATTTGTCTGTACATTTTATGAAGGTGAGTCAGCCTGGATTTTCACCGGTGTCTTGCCCAATGGCTACAGTCCTCCCAGTGGCTTCTGTTTTGACATACTCTGCAATGATGACCCCATCATGGACGACCCGCGACTCCATGATTATAATGTTGATGAAAAGGTAAGTACCTTATTTATTCCACCCTAGGCTTAGTATTGTAGGTGTTTAACTTTTAAATATCACAAAACACGATATATATATTTTAATATATAAATTTGCTGCACAGTGTGTGGCTACGTTGATCTATATACCGTTTCACAAGAACTATGAAAATAAGATACTAGCTATAGAAGGAACTTTTAAAGAGGCAACATTTCGCTCTGTTAGATCTCTATCAAATCATAATTTGATAGAGCTGTAACACAGAAACTTCGTTCCAGTCAAAACTCTGTAACGTGTGTCGCTTCTTCAATATATGCTGGTCAAGAACTAGTTTTGTTTACCTAAAAATCAACTACCAGCATGGTTGTCCTATCATACTCAATGTTTTGGTTTCTAGAGGAATTCTCCTTGTAGTAGCCTGTATAGAAAATCTCTTATTGAAAGTACACCGCTTTCTCCTTCATTCATACTGCCTCACCTCCTGTCTCTATCTCTTGCCACAATGTCCATAGTTCTTCCCAGCCGTCTTCAGTCTTTTACCTTCCAAAATAATTCTTAATCACATAATGCATTTTCTGTTATTGAGGCCAAGAAAGACTGTATTATTGTTGAACATTTCAAAGTTAAATATCTACACCTATAATAACACTAGTTAGGTACTGAAGTAATTTTTTGAGTCCCATTTGATAAGTTATTATTGAATAGTACAGCAATTGAATCAATAAATTAAGAAAACTGTTACTTGCAAACAATTTTGTTTTAAGAAGACTATTAATACTAAAATTATCACTACTCACAAACCTATATTAGTGAAATAAAAAAAATAGTGTTATTATTACACTACAGGAGAGTCCCGTTTTACAGTGCTTCGCTTTACAGCTTTTCGCTAATACAGCGGTTTTCAGTTATGCCCATTCTTCATTTATTCAGACTTCGTACAAAAAATATAATTACCACTCACTATAGCTAAAGCTGAAATTTTTTTTTAAGGTAGGTAGTACTGTATATGTATTTTTTAGGTTTATGTATATTGCTCACTTAATATGTGACAGTGTAATAATGTTATCAGGCTTTTATATGCATATGAAGGTGAAAAGAGGCTGTTTGACTACAGCAGTAACCCGGAAGCTAACCTGCTGTGTAAGTGGGGCCCTCCTGTAAGTGGGGCCCTCCTGTAAGTGGGGCCCTCCTGTAAGTGGGGCCCTCCTGTAAGTGGGGCCCTCCTGTAAGTGGGGCCCTCCTGTAAGTGCAGCCCTCCTGTAAGTGGGGCCCTCCTGTAAGTGGGGCCCTCCTGTAAGTGGGGCCCTCCTGTAAGTGCGGCCCTCCTGTAAGTGCGGCCCTCCTGTAAGTGTGGCCCTCCTGTAAGTGCGGCCCTCCTGTACATAGAGTTTAGGTTAAGTTTGCTTTAAAGTTTATTCATGTTTTCATGTTTTATACTCCATCCTGTCTTCCATTCCTGTTGCTGGTGATGGGTTCTTGATCTAAGGAAGTTTATATACTCCCTTGGTTCAAACCTCGTAATTTTCCATATCGCAGGTGCAGTATGACCCTCCTACGAGTTTAGCGCTTCCCCATATTGATAATATAAGAATACATTTCTTACTGACAGGTACCTATCCTCTTGAAATTATCTTGGCTAACAGTATTCACCTATGCTGTCTCCTCTGTCTCTAGTATGGTACAATGTGTCTTTTAGCCATCAGTGGACGGAGGATCGAGCCTCCACCACTGTCCTGAATGACCTACAAGGATTTAGCAAGCAACATAAAATTTTAATATAAAAATAATCATCTACAGTAAATACTAATCTGGAGGCTGGGTCAGGGACGACCTTACATTGTCCCCCACAGGGACAATGTAAGGTCGTCTCTTTCCAACTGTTATTAACCACTCTACTAGAAGAATCAACATTTCTTCACCTTCAAACTGCTCTCGTTTTCCTAGCTCACCTTCTTATCTGTACACAAATATTTTAAATTTGTTTGATAAACCATTTTCCTTACCTCCACTTCTTCATCATATCTTCTGTAAGAGTCTTAAGATAACACGGTATAAATGACTTAGTAAAAGGTAAATTATGTAAACAAACTATGTAAACAGGTTATGCTAGCTTGTTTTCGCGTTTATCTATGATTGACTGTTTACTAGCTTAACGAATTCATTGCTGAAGCCTTTATTAATGTAATATACTGTTATTAAATATATTGTATTTTCACTATCTTAAAATAAAAATTGAAGTATTGCACGGTAATAATATTTTGAGTAAAAAAATTAACACTTCATCACCCATGGACTTGAATAAGGATTTAAAATTATATATATATATATATATATTATATATATATATTTTATATATATATATATATATATATATATATATATATATATATATATATTATATTTTTTTTTTATTTTTTTTTTTTTTTTTTTTTCAACAAGTCGGCCGTCTCCCACCGAGGCAGGGTGACCCAAAAAAGAAAGAAAATCCCCAAAAAGAAAATACTTTCATCATCATTCAACACTTTCACCACACTCACACATTATCACTGCTTTGCTGAGGTGCCCAGAATACAACAGTTTAGAAGCATATACGTATAAAGATACACAACATATCCCTCCAAACTGCCAATATCCCAAACCACTCCTTTAAAGTGCAGGCATTGTACTTCCCATTTCCAGGACTCAAGTCCGACTATATGAAAATAACCGGTTTCCCCGAATCCCTTCACTAAATATTACCCTGCTCACACTCCAACAGATCGTCAGGTCCCAAGTACCATTCGTCTCCATTCACTCCTATCTAACACGCTCACGCACGCTTGCTGGAAGTCCAAGCCCCTTACCCACAAAACCTCCTTTACCCCCCCTTCTCCAACCCTTTCGAGGACGACCCCTACCCCTCCTTCCTTCCCCTATAGATTTATATGCTTTCCATGTCATTCTACTTTGATCCATTCTCTCTAAATGACCAAACCACCTCAACAACCCCTCTTCTGCCCTCTGACTAATACTTTTATTAACTCCACACCTTCTCCTAATTTCCACACTCCGAATTTTCTGCATAATATTTACACCACACATTGCCCTTAACAGGACATCTCCACTCCCTCCAACCGTCTCCTCGCTGCTGCATTTACCACCCAAGCTTCACACCCATATAAGAGTGTTGGTACTACTATACTTTCATACATTCCCTTCTTTGCCTCCATAGATAACGTTTTTTGACTCCACATATACCTCAACGCACCACTCACCTTTTTTCCCTCATCAATTCTATGATTAACCTCATCCTTCATAAATCCATCCGCCGACACGTCAACTCCCAAGTATCTGAAAACATTCACTTCTTCCATATCTCCTCCTCCCCAATTTGTTTATCCAATTTTTCTTTATCTAAATCATTTGACACCCTCATCACCTTACTCTTTTCTATGTTCACTTTCAACTTTCTACCTTTACACACATTCCCAAACTCATCCACTAACCTTTGCAATTTTTCTTTAGAATCTCCCCTAAGCACAGTATCATCAGCAAAAAGTAACTGTGTCAATTCCCATTTTGAATTTGATTCCCCATAATTTAATCCCACCCTCTCCCAAACACCCTAGCATTTACTTCCTTTACAACCCCATCTATAAATATATTAAACAACCATGGTGACATTACACATCCCTGTCTAAGACCTACTTTTACCGGGAAGTATTCTCCCTCTCTTCTACACACCCTAACCTGAGCCTCACTATCCTCATAAAAACTCTTTACTAGCATTTAATAACTTACCACCTATTCCATATACTTGCAACATCTGCCACATTGCTCCTCTATCCACTCTATCATATGCCTTTTCTAAATCCATAAATGCAATAAAAACTTCCCTATCTTTATCTAAATACTGTTCACATATATGCTTCAATGTAAACACCTGATCTACACATCCCCTACCCACTCTAAAACCTCCTTGCTCATCCGTAATCCTACATTCTGTCTTACCTCTAATTCTTACAATTATAACCCTACCGTACACTTTTCCTGGTATACTCAGTAAGCTTATTCCTCTATAATTTTTACAGTCTCTTTTGTCCCTTTTCCCTTTATATAAAGGGACTATACATGCTCTCTGCCAATCCCTAGGTACCTTCCCCTCTTTCATACATTTATTAAACAAAAGTACCAACCACTCCAACACTATATCCCCCCTGCTTTTAACATTTCTGTCATGATCCCATCAGTTCCAGCTGCTTTACCCCCTTTCATTTTACGTAATGCCTCACGTACCTCCCCCACACTTACATTCTGCTCTTCTTCACTCCTAAAAGATGGTATACCTCCCTGACCAGTGCATGAAATTACTGCCTCTGTTTCTTCCATAACATTTAAAAGTTCCTCAAATATTCTCGCCATCTACCCAATACCTCCATCTCCCCATCTACTAACTCCCCTACTCTGTTTTTAACTGACAATCCATATTTTTCCCTAGGCTTTCTTAACTTGTTTAACTCACTCCAAAATTTTTTCTTATTTTCATTAAAATTTCTTGACAGTGCCTCTCCCACTCTATCATCTGCTCTCCTTTGCACTCTCTCACCACTCGCTTTACCTTTCTTTTACTCTCCATATACTCTGCTCTTCTTATAACACTTCTGCTTTGTAAAACCTCTCATAAGCTACCTTTTTCTCTTTTATCACACCCTTTACTTCATCATTCCACCAATCACTCCTCTTTCCTCCTGCCCCCACCCTCCTATAACCACAAACTTCTGCCCCACATTCTAATACTGCATTTTTAAAACTATTCCAACCCTCTTCAACCCCCCCACTACTCATCTTTGCACTAGCCCACCTTTCTGCCAATAGTCGCTTATATCTCACCCGAACTTCCTTCTCCCTTAGTTATACACTTTCACCTCCCTCTTACTTGTTGTTGCCACCTTCCTCTTTTCCCATCTACCTCTTACTCTAACTGTAGCTACAACTAAATAATGATCCGATATATCAGTTGCCCCTCTATAAACATGTACATCCTGGAGCCTACCCATCAACCTTTTATCCACCAATACATAATCTAATAAACTACTTTCATTACGTGCTACATCATACCTTGTATATTTATTTATCCTCTTTTTCATAAAATATGTATTACTTATTACCAAATTTCTTTCTACACATAGCTCAATTAAGGCTCCCCATTTACATTTACCCCTGGCACCCCAAATTTACCTACTACTCCCTCCATAACATTTTTACCCACTTTAGCATTGAAATCCCCAACCACCATTACTCTCACACTTGATTCAAAACTCCCCACGCATTCACTCAACATTTCCCAAAATCTCTCTCTCTCCTCTACACTTCTCTCTTCTCCAGGTGCATACACGCTTATTATAACCCACTTTTCACATCCAATCATTATTTTACTCCACATAATCCTTGAATTAATACATTTATAGTCCCTCTTTTCCTGCCATAGCTTATCCTTCAACATTATTGCTACTCCTTCTTTAGCTCTAACTCTATTTGAAACCCTGACCTAATCCCATTTATTCCTCTCCACTGAAACTCTCCCATCCCCTTCAGCTTTGTTTCACTTAAAGCCAGGACATCCAGCTTCTTCTCATTCATAACATCCACAATCATCTCTTTCTTATCATCTGCACAACATCCACGCACATTCAGACTTCCCACTTTGACAATTTTCTTCTTCTTATTCTTTTTAGTAATCTTTACAGGAAAAGGGGTTACTAGCCCATTGTTCCCGGCATTTTAGTTGACTTTTACAACACGCATGGCTTACGGAGGAAAGATTCTTATTCCACTTCCCCATGGATATAAAAGGAAAATTAATAAGACCAAGAACTATTAAGATAAAATCAACGAAAACTCAGATGAGTGTGTATAAATAAATGTGTACATGTATGTGTAGTGTGACCTAAGTGTAAGTAGAAGTAGCAAGACATGCCTGTAATCTTGCATATTTATGAGACAGACAAAAGACATCAGCAATCCTACCATCATGTAAAACAATCACAGGCTTCGTTTTACACTCACTTGGCAGGACCGTAGTACCTCCCTGGGTGGTTGCTGTCTACCAACCTACTATATATATATATATATATATATATATATATATATATATATATATATATATATATATATATATATATATATATAAAATTGTTATTAACGTGTAACTGGTGAACATTTATAGACCATGACTCATTTTCCAGCGGAATAACTGAAAAACTTTGCTTCTGCATTCAACTGAGAAATTGATATTCATTGTAAGTCCCTGAGTGATGATTTGTTGTGTCAGGTGGAAGGTTTCTTGAAGGCAGCTGAGAGCCAGGCTCAAGGCTACACCACCAACCACACTATTATGACCATGGGTGATGACTTCAACTACCAGAGTGCTGACATGTGGTACAAGAACATTGATAAACTCATCAGGTAGGTGTCACTCACGGTAACACCTCTTAACAAAAATTAGATTATTATTATTATAATAAAAAAGAAGCGCTAAGCCACAAGGGCTATACAGAACAAAAATTAGAAATTTTATCTAGATGTTTCGCTCTCTCCTGCACCATTATCAGGTTCAGGACGGACTGAAACATCATCTTGTTTCTATTTCCATTTTGTGGGTTAATTGTGAACCAAAACATTCATCTCATCTACATAATGAGTTATGTGCTCTTCACATTTCAAATTTACTTTATTGGACCTCCCTTGAATTACCTTCAAACATTTATAATTCTTCCTTTTGTAAGTTTTCTTCTCTCTTCTTGCTCTCTTCAAGTGATTAACTATTTAAAAACTAATGGAAAGAAATCAACGTAAGGTAAGATATGGTTAAATTTAAGACAGTATAGATGCTAGTTCCAGGTGTTATATGGGAACAGAAAGTAGAGCAGGTAAGTTTGAGGGCGAACTCAATTATATTTTTTATTTGGGTGATAAATTTTCTGGAAATCACAAAAAATTATCTTAGTTTTACTTAGCGTGTTATACTGCGTGTATGTATAAACGCGCATATATTATATATATATATATATATATATATATATATATATATATATATATATATATTATAATATATATATATATATATTATATATATATATATATATTATATTATATATATATATATATATTATATATATATATATATATATAATATATATATATATATATATATATATATATATATATATATATATATATATATATATATTATTATATACACACAACGTATATATAAGAACACAAGAAAGGAGGAACACTGCAGGAGGCCTGTTGGCCCATACTAGGCAGGTCCTTTACAATTCATCCCACTAACAAAACATTTGCCCAACCCAATTTTCAATGCCACCCAAGAAATAAGCTCTGATGTGAAAGTCCCACTCAAATCCAACCCTCCCACTCATGTACTTATCCAACCTAAATTTGAAACTACCCAAAGTCCTAGCCTCAATAACCCAACTAGGTAGACTGTTCCACTCATCAACTACCCTATTTCCAAACCAATACTTTCCTATGTCCTTTCTAAATCTAAACTTATCTAATTTAAATCCATTACTGCGGGTTCTCTCTTGGAGAGACATCCTCAAGACCTTATTAATATTCCCTTTATTAATACCTATCTTCCACTTATACACTTCGATCAGGTCTCCCCTCATTCTTCGTCTAACAAGTGAATGTAACTTAAGAGTCTTCAATCTTTCTTCATAAGAAAGATTTCTAATGCTATGTATTAATTTAGTCATCCTACGCTGAATGTTTTCTAACGAATTTATGTCTATTCTGTAATATGGAGACCAGAACTGAGCTGCATAATCTAGGTGAGGCCTTACTAATGATGTATAAAGCTGCAGTATGACCTCTGGACTTCTGTTGCTTACACTACTTGATATAAATCCCAGTAATCTATTTGCCTTATTACGTACGCTTAGGCATTGCTGTCTTGGTTTAAGGTTGCTGCTCACCATAACCCCCAAGTCCTTTTCGCAATCTGTATGGCTAAGTTCTACATCATTTAACTTATAAGTACTAGGGTTATGGGCACTCCCAAGCTTCAGAACCTTGCATTTATCTACATTGAACTGCATCTGCCACTTTTCTGACCAAGAATAGAGTTTGTTTCAATCCTCCTGAAGTTCCATAACATCTACGTTTGAATCAATTATCCTACCTATCTTTGTGTCATCGGCGAATTTGCTCATATCGCTAGTAATTCCCTCATCAAGATCATTGATATATATTATAAACAACAACGGGCCCAAGACTGATCCCTGTGGAACGCCACTTGTTACAGATCCCCACTCGGATTTAACCCCATTTATGGACACTCTGCTTCCTGTCAGTGAGCCATGACTCGATCCACGAGAACACCCTTCCCCCAATGCCATGAGCTGCCACTTTCTTTAACAGTCTATGGTGCGGAACTCTATCAAAAGCCTTACTAAAATCTCAGTAAATAATATCAAATTCTTTATCGTGGTCAACAGCCTCAAAAGCTTTACTGAAGAAAGTTAATAAATTAGTTAGACAAGACCGGCCTCTTGTATATACGTATATATACGTATATATATATTTTATATATATATATATATATATATATATATTATATATATATATATATATATTTATATATATATATATTATATATATATATATGGGGTAAGTACAAGCAACTTTAGTTTATTATAATCACGAGGAAGTGCTAAACCCGTAGTGGTCACAGATCTGGGGGAGTGGTAGGTAATAAAGCTTGATTCGAGGGAGGGGAGTGCATCCCTGATCTTTAGATCAAGACTCTTCACCAGCATACTATGACTTAAGATTCTGAAGGCTTAGTGTTGATGGTTCATAGGTTGAGAGTTTCCTGGAGGCTGCTGAACAACAAGCAACAGCCTATGCCACTAACAACATTATTATGACAATGGGTATGGACTTTCACTACCTCAATGCACATGCTTGGTACAAGAACTTGGATAAGTTAATAAGGTAAGCTGAAGTTTCTCACAAACTGATAGTGTTAAATGCAGTGATAAACAAGACTGTTCTGTGAAGCTCTGTGTAAAACTGAAGGGTTTCTGAAACTCTTAAAACCTGATGTAGGAAAATGTGGAAAATTTTAATTTATTCAGTTAATATTCCGGGTCTATATTTTTATTATTACAAAAGCTTCAGTATTTTTTTTAATTATGTAAAAATAAGTGGATGATAGATTAGTAATGAGTCATTTTTTTAAATTGGTACTACATTAGTGTAAAAATAAAAACAGCATCGTATCGCTCTTCTTGAAGATTTCCAGTTTTGAACAATGTATGTATATATATATTATATATATATATTATATATATATATATATATATTATAATATATATATATATATATAATATAAGAATACGTTTCTTACTGACAGGTACCTATGCTCTTGAAATTATCATGGCTAACACTATTCACCTATGCTGTCTCCTCTGTCTCTAGTAATAAAGATGAACAGACCTTGATTTCGCTCTCAGGTATGTGAATGAAGGACAGAAAAATGGATCAAAAGTCCATGTGTTTTAGTGTACTCCGTCGTGCTACCTGGAGTCTCTCTACGCTGCTAATTTAACCTGGCCCACCAAAACTGATGACTTCTTCCCCTACGCCTCTGGTAACCACTCCTACTGGACTGGCTACTTTACCTCCAGACCATCACTTAAAGGCTATGTCAGGCAGACTAACAACTTCTTGCAGGTAACATTCCCAGAGCTTAAGGGGCAGTAGTAATTAAGTAACCTTAAGGAGTATCTTGAAGTGGGTGCCAGAACTTTTCCCCTCCAATGTTTTCGTTTATAACATGAGAACACCTCATTTGATCTATGTCAAATCTTCAAGACTGGTGTAGTGTAACAGTATAAAGGTTGGTTCAATGACGGCGTGTGCAGCTGCCCTCTGGTCATTGTTATATAGATCATTTCCGGTTCGGATCGCAGCCTAGTATGAAAGACAGGAAGCTACAGTAAATGTTTGATCTACGTGGAATTACTAAGGTCACCAATATCTGAACTTAAGTATGTGGACTGAGAGTCGCCGGGCTCACTCTCACTGACCTTAATCAGGGACTGTGGGAGCTAAAAGTCATAAATAAGTTTAAAAAAAAAAACTTTATAGATTGCCTATAATAAAGAAGCAATTGTGACATTTCACTGCTAATACACTACTTAAAAATAAAAGTCAAACGATGTTTCAGTCTGCTTTGGTCAATTATCGAGTTGCTAGTTATAATAACCATGGACGGACCCAATTATCGTCGATTTATTTTTTCAAATTTACGGGTTAATTGTGAATGATTGTAATGACGGTACTGTGATAATTGTTTCTCACTTTAGATCATGTTGTGTGTGTTCAGGGCGTGAAGCAAGTATCAGCACTGCTGGGGCTGGGTCAGGACCCCAGGCTGCTGACGCTGAAGGAAGCGATGGCAGTGGTACAGCACCATGATGCTGTGTCAGGAACAGCCAAGCAACACGTCACTGATGACTATTCTCAAAGACTGGCACACGTGTCTCGCAGGCCTTTGAGATGGTAGCAGAAGCCTACTCGTGAGTATTATTATTATTATTATTATTAGTAATAGTAGTAGTAGTACTAGTAGTAGTAGTAATAGTTGGAGTGTTGTTATTGTTATTATATATTAATGTTATTATAATAATTATTAATTATATTAAAATTACGCTTGAAATCCGTATGAGTCATATACAGCTGGTGGTGTTTTGTTTGTCAGGAAAGATGGGGTTAATTCCTCCTGACTCTGGTTTGAGTCATGTGATGACTAGTTCTGGAGCTTTATGGTCATCTGACCGAGACCTTTCACTGGCTTACCAGTCCACTCAGTAAAAAAAAAATCCCATCAGAATGTGTCGGTTTAATACTTTTAAAGCCTATTGACTCCACGAGGGCCATATAGCATCACATTTGTCCATTACAATTTCAGGAAAAAATTTAACAAGTAATATAAACATTGAAATCTAACCATGTATAGATTAAGAGATATACACGTCTCTCCTGTATAGTATTTACCCATGTCAACACATCACAGGTGTATATATATGTATATATATATTATATATATATTATTTATATATATATTTATATTATATATATATATATATATAAAATTTTATATATATATTATATATATTATTATATATATATATATATTATATGTATATATATATATATATATATATATATTATATTATATTATATATAATATTATATGAGTTTCTCTGAGGTACGTTTATTGTCTTTCTGAGGATGAGGGTCCCCATTCCAGCTATAGAGGTGGTACTTCCTATATATTTATAAAAAAATATTATATATTATATATATATATATATATATATATATATTTTATTATTATATTATATATATATATATATATATTATATTATATATATATATATATATTATATGTATATATATATATATATATATATATATATTATATAATATATATATATTTATTATATATATATATATATTATATATATATTTATATATATATATATATATATTTTTAATATATATATATATATATATATTTTATATATATATATATTTATATATATATATATATATATATAATATATATATTATGCAAAACAACCACTCTGAAAGAATAGAGAAATTCCAAGCGCTTTCGTGCTACCACATTATCAAGGAACTATAGTTCCTTGATAATGTGAGTAGTCACGAAAGCGCTTGGAATTTCTCTATTCTTTCAGAGTGGTTGTTTTGCATATTTGAAATCACCTGTTTACTGTGATTTATTGCATTTTATATATATATATATATATATATATATATATATATATATATATATATATATTTTATATATATATATCCTTGTTAGCTGCCCTTTAATAAACTTGTTCCGAGTGCCGCTGCATTTTTTCCTCTTTAGTTCCACTCTGATATTTTCATGTCTTTCCATTAACATTCTAGCTGAATTAATGAATCTTGCGAGCATTAGTTACACAGAAACACTCAAAATTAATTATTTTTTTACATGCAGACATTTTTTAAACATTTGAGACTTTGAATATGTTTTTATTAACTTTATTGATTATAATAAGATTAATATTATATCTCCGTAGGAAATTACAGCCTGATGCGTCGGAGATGACAGAATCTCTAGAACCGGTCTTCTGTGCCCTTCTGAACGTATCTTCGTGTCAAGTGTCCGAGACTTCGAAAACCTTCGTTGTGACTCTGTACAACCCGCTGGCCAGGCCACGACAGTACTTCGCAAGAATACCTGTTCCAGATAATGTTGGATATAAGGTCACAGATTATATGGGTAAGCAGAGGTTTTCGTCATAAGGTAGAGTACATGCTTTAAAAGATTATTAAACATATTTAATCATGGAAGTTGGCTGGTTTATTACGTTTAAAGCCTACTGACTACACAAGGGCCATTAAGGATGAGTGTCAAGAGGGACCTTTTACTAGATCGAAGTACACAAAATTGGTAAATTAATAATTTAAAGAGACATGTGCAGGTGATACTTCTCTCCAATAAAGATACTTAGGTGTTACACATGGACATTTTGATGTTCACATTTTGTATAAGAAAGCAGAAACTACTGTTCTCTTGAGTAACATTCTCGTGTGCTCTAACAGGTAACGCAGTCGAGGCCCAGCTTGTACCCTTGCCAGAGGCTCTAATCGCTCTCCCAGGACGCAACTCGACGGCCAAATACGATTTAGTTTTCATAGCAGAGAACATACCACCGCTAGGCTTCCTGCAGTTCCATGTACAGAGCACAGGCAACATCCGCATCCACAAGCAACAGAGGTCTACCATCCACGCACTACACCATACAAAAGACATACATATTATCAACGAGGTGAGATAAGAAAAAACAGTTACAATTCTGCAGTTGGACATGTCACAACTAATTTATAACAGGACGCTAGGCGTCGTCAAATTTTATTTATAAACTGGTGAAACGTTATCATATACTGATAGCAGTAATCATGACAATGGTGCTAGTGTTAACCATGACACCATGGTGCTAGTGTTAACCATGACACCATGGTGCTAGTGTTAACCATGACACCATGGTGCTAGTATTAACCATGACACCATGGTGCTAGTATTAACCATGACACCAAGGTGCTAGTGTTAACCATGACACCATGGTGCTAGTGTTAACCATGACACCATGGTGCCAGTGTTAACCATGACACCATGGTACTAGTGTTAACCATGACACCATGGTGCTAGTGTTAACCATGACACCATGGTGCTAGTGTTAACCATGACACCATGGTGCTAGTGTTAACCATGACACCATGGTGCTAGTGTTAACCATGACACCATGGTGATAATGTTAACCATGACGCCATGGTGCTAGTGTTAACCATGACACCATGGTGCTAGTAGTAACCATGACACCATGGTGCTAGTGTTAACCATGACACCATGGTGCTAGTGTTAACCATGACACCATGGTGCTAGTGTTAACCATGACACCATGGTGCTAGTGTTAACCATGACACCATGGTGATAATGTTAACCATGACGCCATGGTGCTAGTGTTAACCATGACACCATGGTGCTAGTAGTAACCATGACACCATGGTGCTAGTGTTAACCATGACACCATGGTGCTAGTAGTAACCATGACACCATGGTGCTAGTAGTAACCATGACACCATGGTGCTAGTGTTAACCATGACACCATGGTGCTAGTGTTAACCATGACACCATGGTGCTAGTAGTAACCATGACACCATGGTGCTAGTGTTAACCATGACACCATGGTGCTACTGTTAACCATGACACCATGGTGCTAGTAGTAACCATGACACCATGGTGCTAGTGTTAACCATGACACCATGGTGCTAGTGTTAACCATGACACCATGGTGCTAGTGTTAACCATGACACCATGGTGCTAGTGTTAACCATGGCACCATGGTGCTAGTGTTAACCGTGACACCATGGTGCTAGTGTTAACCATGACACCATGGTGCTAGTGTTAACCATGACACCATGGTGCTAGTGTTAACCATGACACCATGGTGCTAGTGTTAACCATGACACCATGGTGCTAGTGTTAACCATGACACCATGGTGCTAGTGTTAACCATGACACCATGGTGCTAGTGTTAACCATGACACCATGGTGCTAGTGTTAACCATGACACCATGGTGCTAGTGTTAACCATGACACCATGGTGCTAGTGTTAACCATGACACCATGGTGCTAATGTTAACCATGACGCCATGGTGCTAGTGTTAACCATGACACCATGTGCTAGTAGTAACCATGACACCATGGTGCTAGTGTTAACCATGACTTCATGGTGCTAGTGTTAACCATGACTTCATGGTGCTAGTGTTAACCATGACACCATGGTGCTAGTGTTAACCATGACACCATGGTGCTAGTAGTAACCATGACACCATGGTGCTAGTGTTAACCATGACTTCATGGTGCTAGTGTTAACCATGACTTCATGGTGCTAGTGTTAACCATGACATCATGGTGCTAGTAGTAACCATGACACCATGATGCTAGTGTTAACCATGACTTCATGGTGCTAGTGTTAACCATGACTTCATGGTGCTAGTGTTAACCATGACACCATGGTGCTAGTGTTAACCATGACACCATGGTGCTAGTGTTAACCATGACACCATGGTGCTAGTGTTAACCATGACACCATGGTGCTAGTGTTAACCATGACACCATGGTGCTAGTAGTAACCATGACACCATGGTGCTAGTAGTAACCATGACACCATGGTGCTAGTGTTAACCATGACACCATGGTTACTTGTATTAACCATGACACCATGGTGCTAGTAGTAACCATGACACCATGGTGCTAGTGTTAATCATGACACCATGGTTACTTGTATTAACCATGACACCATGGTGCTAGTAGTAACCATGACTTCATGGTGCTAGTGTTAACCATGACACCATGGTGCTAGTAGTAACCATGACTTCATGGTGCTAGTGTTAACCATGACTTCATGGTGCTAGTGTTAACCATGACACCATGGTGCTAGTAGTAACCATGACTTCATGGTGCTAGTGTTAACCATGACACCATGGTGCTAGTAGTAACCATGACTTCATGGTGCTAGTGTTAACCATGACACCTTCAGTAAAATCTGTAAATGTTTCTTCAGAGCAAATAACAATTCAAGCAGCCACAGATTTAACTGTTATAATACCATATAAAGAATTTTATAAGTTCCTATAAGAGCACGTGAACGATAATTCAGTATACATCATACAGATAATTCAGTATACATCATACAGATAATTCAGTACACATCATACAGATAATTCAGTACACATCATACAGATAATTCAGTACACATCATACAGATAATTCAGTATACATCATACAGATAATTCAGTATACATCATTCAGCTCGTGTATTCATACGTTACAATGTGGCATTTCTGAAGATTATTTGCAAATCAATTAACATTGATAAAATTGTTTTTGTAACAGAATCTGGCAGTAGGCCTAGACGACACAACAGGTCTTCTCAAATCCATTGGCGTAGTTACCCCGGAAGGCATGAAAGAAATTAAGGTAATGTTAGTGTTTAAAACGCAGTGTGTATGTGTGTACTCACCTAGTTGTGGTTGCAGGGGTTGAGTCATAGCTCCTGGCCCCGCCTTTTCACTGGCCGCTACTGGGTCACTCTCCTCTGCTTAAAGCTATGTATGGATCCTGCCTCCACTACATCGCTTCCCAAACTATTCCACTTCCTGACAACTCTGTGATTGAAGAAATACTTCCTAACATCCCTGTGATTCATCTGAGTCTTCAATTTCCAACTGTGTCCCCTTGTTGATGTGTCCCATGTGTGTGTGTGTGTGTGTGTGTGTGTGTGTGTGTGTGTGTGTGTGTGTGTGTGTTGTGTGTGTGTGTGTGGTGTGTGTGTGGTCAGCAACAAAAAAAAAGATACAAAGAATGTGTTATATAATGTAAAGAAATGTATTATTAAGAGAAATCATGATAACTAGAGAGATAGTGATAATTAAATGTGGGAATGAGTATCGTTGAGCTGAGAATGAAATAGTCGCCAAATTAAATGAGAAAAATGAAAGAACAGGAGAACCGAAATGAGTGGCAATGAGTAAGAGAATGGTAGAGTGAGAGCGAGGCAGCGAGCTTGGACAAGGCACTAATATATATGTATGTATTTGTATGTGTAGGTTCACCAGACATTCTTGTGGTACGCTGGTATGAGTGGCGACAACAGCCAGGAGGAGAAGAGAGCCTCTGGTGCCTATATTTTCCGTCCCAATGGCACCTTTGCTCACCCCGTCTCAACATTCACCAACACCTCTGTCATACAAGGTTAGTTCTCTCCTTGTTCTAAAACACTCGTGTCTATATTCACCAAGAATAAAATTCACAATACTGTGGCTGAAACAATTATCATGCAATCCACACTTTGGCGAGGTAACTTTAAGCAATGTTTCGCTCAGTTTTGGACCATTTATAAAGTTATTATAAAATTGATGTACTAAGTTTAAAGCCTATTGACTACACGAGGATCATTAATGCTGCGGCTCACCTCTACACTCTCATCAACAATTTAATTTAATATAATATAATATATATATATATATATATATATATATATATATATATATATATATAATATATATATATATATATATATAATATATATATATATATATATATATAATATATATATATATTATTTTTTATTAACACATCGGCCAATTCCCACCAAGGCAGGGTGGCCCGAAAAAGAAAAAACTTTCATCATCATTCAACACTTTCACCACACTCACACATTATCACTGTTTTTGGAGAGATGCTCAGGATACAACAGTTTAGAAGCATATACGTATAAAGATACACAACATATCCCTCCAAACTGCCAATATCCCAAACCCCTCCTTTAAAGTGCAGGCATTGTACTTCCCATTTCCAGGACTCAAGTCCGACTATATGAAAATAACCGGTTTCCCTGAATCCCTTCACTAAATATTACCCTGCTCACACTCCAACAGATCGTCAGGTCCCAAGTATCATTCGTCTCCATTCACTCCTATCAAACACGCTCACGCACGCTTGCTGGAAGTCCAAGCCTCTCGCCCACAAAACCTCCTTTACCCCCTCTCTCCAACCCTTTCGAGGACGACCCCTACCCCTCCTTCCTTCCCCTATAGATTTATATGCTTTCCATGTCATTCTACTTTGATCCAAACCACCTCAACAACCCCTCTTCTGCCCTCTGACTAATACTTTTATTAACTCCACACCTTCTCCTAATTTCCACACTCCGAATTTTCTGCATAATATTTACACCACACATTGCCCTTAGACAGGACATCTCCACTGCCTCCAACCGTCTCCTCGCTGCTGCATTTACCACCCAAGCTTCACACCCATATAAGAGTGTTGGTACTACTATACTTTCATACATTCCCTTCTTTACCTCCATAGATAACGTTTTTTGACTCCACATATACCTCAACGCACCACTCACCTTTTTTTCTTCATCAATTCTATAATTAACCTCATCCTTCATAAACCCATCCGCCGACACGTCAACTCCCAAGTATCTGAAAACATTCACTTCTTCCATACTCCTCCTCCCCAATTTGATATCCAATTTTTCTTTATCTAAATCATTTGACACCCTCATCACCTTACTCTTTTCTATGTTCACTTTCAACTTTCTACCTTTACACACATTCTCAAACTCATCCACTAACCTTTGCAATTTTTCTTTAGAATCTCCCATAAGCACAGTATCATCAGCAAAAAGTAACTGTGTCAATTCCCATTTTGAATTTGATTCCCCATAATTTAATCCCACCCCTCTCCCGAACACCCTAGCATTTACTTCCTTTACAACCCCATCTATAAATATATTAAACAACCATGGTTACATTACACATCCCTGTCTAAGACTCACCTTTACCGGGAAGTAGTCTCCCTCTCTTCTACACACCCTAACCTGAGCTTCACTATCCTCATAAAAACTCTTTACAGCATTTAGTAACTTACCACCTATTCCATATACTTGCAACATCTGCCACATTGCTCTTCTATCCACTCTATCATATGCCTTTTCTAAATCCATAAATGCAATAAAAACTTCCCTACCTTTATCTAAATACTGTTCACACACACACACACACATTATATATATATATATATATATATATATATATATTATATATATATATATATATATATATATATATATATATATATAATTTTTTTTTTTTTTTTTTTTCAACAAGTCGGCCGTCTCCCACCGAGGCAGGGTGACCCAAAAAAGAAAGAAAATCCCCAAAAAGAAAATACTTTCATCATCATTCAACACTTTCACCACACTCGCACATTATCACTGTTTTTGCAGAGGTGCTCAGAATACAACAGTCTAGAAGCATACACATATAAAGATACACAACATATCCCTCCAAACTGCTATATATATATATGGGTATGTGAGTGTCTGTTGAGACTACAGTATCGTATATCTGAATAGTGTACAGTCAACGATAGTGGAGAAATGATGACTTTGTTGAAGGTCTATAAGAGGGGAGAAACACGACCTTCTTCCTCGTACAAGTAAAGCAAGTTGTACAAGGTGCTTGTCTTCACATAACAGGATCACTAGTGACTGAGATACACCAGGTATGGTCACCATGGGTGAGTCAGGTCACCAGGCTCTACACTGGACAGCTTCACGTACAGATGGAGTGGCTGGTCGGACCTATACCTATTGAGTGAGTAACAACTTCAGAACAGAACTGTAAAATATTAAAAAAAAAAATACACGAGAATATATTGTTTGGTTAAGTTATTCTGACAAGTTAGTTAAGTGATGTTCTCACTTTGCCAGAGACGGAGTCGGGAAGGAAGTGGTGAGTCGTGTGGTGTGGGAAGATACTCCTACCAATGGTACCTTCTATACTGACTCCAATGGTCGAGAAATATTGAAACGTAAGTATCCTTCTCCTTCCTCCTCCTCCTCTTCTTCCTTTTCTTATTTTTTTATTCTTTTTCTTCAGTTTTCCCCCTTCTTTACTCTTCTACCTATCATTATTATTATTGTTATGATTTTCAGTGGATAGCGATGTACCCGTAAGACTCTCAGAACGATAATAATAATTGGTAATCAGGTTTGATCCGGGGAATCAAGCTTCCTGGATCAAGAGCCGTCCAATACCATCAGCCTGAAGCTTCTTACGATTATTTAAAATTTTCTTCATTCTCTGATTTAGTGTAGAAAATATCTGAGGTTTATCCTGAAGTTCTCTTAAGAGGCGGGGCCAGGAGCTATGTCTCGACCCCTGCAACCACAAATAGGCGAGTACACACACACACACAAATATATAATTGTAGGAAGGTTGTTTAAGACAGTTATTGGTAAGAACGTGATATTACCCTTTGACAGGTGTCAGGGACTTCCGGTCAACCTGGCAGTTGAAGAACCTGGAACCTGTGGCAGGCAATTATTATCCTGTCAACTCCAGACTCATGATCAAGGCCGCACCAGACTTCCAGGCGGCCCTACTCACTGACCGCTCACAGGTGAGTCACTTAATGCTTGTAGGTAAGTCAGGTGACTGCTGTAGGTGAGTCAGGTGACTGCTGTAGGTGAGTCAGGTGACTGCTGTAGGTGAGTCAGGCGGCCGCTGTAGGTGAGTCAGGTGACCGCTGTAGGTGAGTCAGGTGACCGCCGTAGGTGAGTCAGGCGGCCGCTGTAGGTGAGTCAGGTAACCGTGTGGTGGAGTTCATTGGTGTACCGCTTGTAGGTGATAGGTGACCGCGATAAGGTGTTAGTTTAGATCGGCCAGCTGTAGTGTGAGTTTCAGCTACCGCTGTAGTGGAGTCAAGCGGCGCGTGTAGGTGAAGTACAATGGTGACCGTTCTGTAGGTGATCAGGTCGAAACAATATTCCAACTATGAATCTTTAGACTTCCATCTGCAACCTCTGTGGTTCTTTCTATTTTGTAGATTTCTTCGACACCATATGCTTTATCATACAATGGACATAAGTGGAAGACAGTATAAGAACTTATAACAAAAGATAAGGTAATCAGTGCCTCAGTCTTGGAGTTGGTGAGATCCACTAGTCACTGAAGCTACGGTATAACTTCATCCAGATTTAGTTAGAAAAATGTGGTTACTAATTTCTTATTGTAGGTGCATTGGATAATGTTGCAGTTTTATACACTATAGTGTAAGTCATGCCCTAGGCAAATACAGTGATGGAGTGAATGAAGTATGAAAGTATATTCTTTTTCGGGCCACCCTGTCCTTGGTGGAAGCGGCCATGTGTTAATAATATATTAATAATCATAATAAGGGTAATTGCTATTTTATTACAACAATTCACTAACTAAGTAAATATTGGTCGCTGTATAACTCAGTTCCAGGTCTCGGTGAAGTGTGAAAAAGGCTTTAAATGGTCAGAGGCCTGAGCATCCAGCAGCTGTAGTGGTGTGACGAGTATTAGATTGGATGGAGTAAAGTGGTACGTTTTATGGTGAAGTGCCTGTTGGGAGTGGGCACGGTAATATTCGGACTTAGGAGTCATGGTAAGTGGGTAGAACAAGGCTGCCTCTGAGGAGGGGTGGGGAATGTACGCTTGGGCAGTTCTGGTGACAGTTATTAACTATGAACGAATGTGAATGTCTATTTGTTTTTTTATGTTGCTCGCAAGGCGACATAAACTTAAGAATGACTAAATTATGGAAAACGATTTGAGGTGTCATTCAAATCACCCTTTGAGTTGGGAAGTCATCCTATCTCTAACAGGTGGTGTCATTCTATCAACCTGACAGGAGGTGGCTATTCTATCGCCTTGAGGTGTAAGTCATTTTATCAGCCTGCAGGTGTAGGTCATTCTGTCGCCTTGACAGGAGGGTCAGTCGTATCAGCTTGAATGATGGTGGTCAGTCATCTGTCTTCTTATCGACATTTCTGGTGGAATTCTGGACCATTACCACATCCCGTGTGAACATGATCAAGGTTCAAGGCAGCGGACTGATCACATAGTGCTGGTTGTGGGTCGTAGATTTGCTATTGGTTTTACAAATGTAGGCGAGGAAGTTCCCGGGTGTAGGCACATGGAGCTGATGGTTTCATGCAGCCTCCTGCATGACAACGCTATTTCGGTTGGGAGAACCACGCAATGAAATCTGCCTTTGACCATGGTTGGATGGTCCGTTGGCATCGCACATACCTCACCTACAGGTCATGCACTTACAACACTACCCCTCTAAAAATATAAATAATAAAAGATATGTAAAATAATAATAATGTAATACTAATATAAATGTGTACATCTATACTTGACTAGTTATGTCATTCTATCACATAAAGTTCTTTGACACGACAGCTACTTAGCGAGCCAGAATGTGATTTGGGTGCTTGACAGATCGCCAGCCTTGGTGAATGAGGTTTGTTACAACCTATTTCTTCTAGCAAGACATTGTCTGCTATGACTGGAAGACCAATCCCTTTAAACAAGGTCAAGGCGAGAATGGTATTCTTTTCCATCTTGCCTCTTCTTTGGGAAGCCTTACCTGACCTCTGATATAACACTACGCTCATTCTGTACAGTGTCGGTGGTAACAAGTATGTATCTCTCAGTGGACAGGGCTAAGGTTCCCTACCGCCTACGTTTCACCTGCTGACAGCTGGAGCCTTGGACTCGATGGATCCCCTCTTAATGCGATATGGAAATATGTTCGAGCTGAGGAACTCTGGCTTAGATGATCCAGTGACTCTACACTCTCAATAATTATTAACCATACACAGTTTATTTGGGTTTAGGGATGGGAAGCACAGAGCCATGTGTGGATGTTGTGGTTTATGAGTAGGATGTACATGCCTGCACACTGAAGGAGGGGTGATGATGCTGTGGTTCTGAGTAGAATACAGTGCCTGCACACTGAAGGAGGTGTGAGTGTGTTTCTGGAGGTAGGAGTTACAGTGCCTGCACACTGAAGGAGGGCGTGCGAGTGCTGGTCTGGTAGGAAGTAACAGTCTGCACACTGAAGGAGGTGGTGTGAGTGCTGTAGATTCTGAGAGTGGAAGTACATGCCTGCACACTGAAGGAGGGCTGTGTGAGTCTGTGGTTCTGGAGGTAGGAAGTACAGTGCCTGCACACTGAAGGAGGGTGTGAGTGCTGTGGTTCTGGAGGTAGGAAGTACAGTGCCTGCACACTGAAGGAGGAGTGTGAGTGCTGTGGTTCTGGAGGTAGGAAGTACAGTGCCTGCACACTGAAGGAGGGGTGTGAGTGCTGTGGTTCTGGAGGTAGGAAGTACAGTGCCTGCACACTGAAGGAGGGTGTGAGTGCTGTGGTTCTGGAGGTAGGAAGTACAGTGCCTGCAAACTGAAGGAGGGGTGCGAGTGCTGTGGTTCTGGAGGTAGGAAGTACAGTGCCTGCACACTGAAGGAGGGGTGCGAGTGCTGTGTTCTGGAGGTAGGAAGTACAGTGCCTGCACACTGAAGGAGGGGTGTGAGTGCTGTGGTTCTGGAGGTAGGAAGTACAGTGCCTGCACACTGAAGGAGGGTGTGAGTGCTGTGGTTCTGGAGGTAGGAAGTACAGTGCCTGCACACTGAATGAGGGGTGTGAGTGCTGTGGTTCTGGAGATAGGAAGTACAGTGCCTGCACACTGAAGGAGGGGTGTGAGTGCTGTGGTTCTGGAGGTAGGAAGTACAGTGCCTGCACACTGAAGGAGGGGTGCTGAGTGCTGTGGTTCTGGAGATAGGAAGTACAGTGCCTGCACACTGAAGGAGGGGTGTGAGTGCTGTGGTTCTGGAGGTAGGAAGTACAGTGCCTGCACACTGAAGGAGGGGTGTGAGTGCTGTGGTTCTGGAGATAGGAAGTACAGTGCCTGCACACTGAAGGAGGGGTGTGAGTGCTGTGGTTCTGGAGGTAGGAAGTACAGTGCCTGCACACTGAAGGAGGGGTGTGAGTGCTGTGGTTCTGGAGGTAGGAAGTACAGTGCCTGCACACTGAAGGAGGGGTGTGAGTGCTGTGGTTCTGGAGATAGAAGTACAGTGCCTGCACACTGAAGGAGGGGTGTGAGTGCTGTGGTTCTGGAGGTAGGAAGTACAGTGCCTGCACACTGAAGGAGGGGTGTGAGTGCTGTGGTTCTGGAGATAGGAAGTACAGTGCCTGCACACTGAAGGAGGGGTGTGAGTGCTGTGGTTCTGGAGGTAGGAAGTACAGTGCCTGCACACTGAAGGAGGGGTGGAGTGCTGTGGTTCTGGAGTAGGAAGTACAGTGCCTGCACACTGAAGGAGGGGTGCGAGTGCTGTGGTTCTGGAGATAGGAAGTACAGTGCCTGCACACTGAAGGAGGGGTGTGAGTGCTGTGGTTCTGGAGATAGGAAGTACAGTGCCTGCACACTGAAGGAGGGGTGTGAGTGCTGTGGTTCTGGAGTAGGAAGTACAGTGCCTGCACACTGAAGGAGGGGTGCGAGTGCTGTGGTTCTGGAGATAGGAAGTACAGTGCCTGCACACTGAAGGAGGGGTGTGAGTGCTGTGGTTCTGGAGGTAGGAAGTACAGTGCCTGCACACTGAAGGAGGGGTGTGAGTGCTGTGGTTCTGGAGGTAGGAAGTACAGTGCCTGCACACTGAAGGAGGGGTGTGAGTGCTGTGGTTCTGGAGATAGGAAGTACAGTGCCTGCACACTGAAGGAGGGGTGTGAGTGCTGTGGTTCTGGAGTAGGAAGTACAGTGCCTGCACACTGAAGGAGGGGTGTGAGTGCTGTGGTTCTGGAGGTAGGAAGTACAGTGCCTGCACACTGAAGGAGTGTGAGTGCTGTGGTTCTGGAGATAGGAAGTACAGTGCCTGCACACTGAAGGAGGGGTGGAGTGCTGTGGTTCTGGAGATAGGAAGTACAGTGCCTGCACACTGAAGGAGGGGTGTGAGTGCTGTGGTTCGGAGGTAGGAAGTACAGTGCCTGCCACACTGAAGGAGGGGTGGAGTGCTGTGGTTCTGGAGATAGGAAGTACAGTGCCTGCACACTGAAGGAGGGGTGTGAGTGCTGTGGTTCTGGAGGTAGGAAGTACAGTGCCTGCACACTGAAGGAGGGGTGTGAGTGCTGTGGTTCTGGAGGTAGGAAGTACAGTGCCTGCACACTGAAGGAGGGGTGTGAGTGCTGTGGTTCTGGAGATAGGAAGTACAGTGCCTGCACACTGAAGGAGGGGTGTGAGTGCTGTGGTTCTGGAGATAGGAAGTACAGTGCCTGCACACTGAAGGAGGGGTGTGAGTGCTGTGGTTCTGGAGGTAGGAAGTACAGTGCCTGCACACTGAAGGAGGGGTGTGAGTGCTGTGGTTCTGGAGGTAGGAAGTACAGTGCCTGCACACTGAAGGAGGGGTGTGAGTGCTGTGGTTCTGGAGGTAGGAAGTACAGTGCCTGCACACTGAAGGAGGGGTGTGAGTGCTGTGGTTCTGGAGGTAGGAAGTACAGTGCCTGCACACTGAAGGAGGGGTGTGAGTGCTGTGGTTCTGGAGATAGGAAGTACAGTGCCTGCACACTGAAGGAGGGGTGTGAGTGCTGTGGTTCTGGAGGTAGGAAGTACAGTGCCTGCACACTGAAGGAGGGGTGTGAGTGCTGTGGTTCTGGAGGTAGG